TACAAAGGACACCCCCCACCCTTACGCAGATGTCTTTTCAAACATAAGGAAGAACAACCACAAATGAGGAAGAACAACCACAAATTGTCTGTTTGTTTCTTATGCTTGGTTAATGTTCCCCAAACCAGTTTCTATGTGCCCTTAATTGTTTTACAATTACATAAACTTAAAATAACATCATTCAATGCCTAAATCTGAAACCACCATAATGAATTATTAACTTCTTCTATTCTATGCTGATTCAAACGGATTTCTATTAAATAATTGCTGCTATGGTTACACTCTCCTAACACCAGCCGGCCTAATTCAAACTTTACTGCCCCCCCCAAATCAAACTAAACTAACCACACTTCTACAATAAAATGGTTACCTAAATTTTCTTCAATCTATATAGACTGTTTTCTAAAACCTGTATCTATAAATTTCTAAAATCACATCAAGAGAACCTGTGACCTGCACTAAGCCTCCTCAATGTGACTCAAAGTTAAATTAATTTGTTTTAAAAACAAAAAACCATAAACTATGGGAAATGGGAACAACAGACTCCCAAGTTTAGCTGTGTATGTTCCCGTCTCAGAGTTTTCTGTTAGAGCCAGCAGGAGCCTTTCCTGGTTGCAGTGCCAAGTGGAAAAGGAGGGAGGGAATGGAGTCAACAACTCCCGAACACATCCTAGTGGTCTCAGGGTCCACAGCCCTTCCTGATCCCTAGTGCTCAGTGGGCCTCCATGGCTGGCTCCCAACACCGAATGCTTGCAGACTCAAGACCAGGAAAATCAGATGTTTTGGTTTGAGTCCGAAGGTGGGAAAATATCTGAGCTCCAGAGTCAGGCAGAGGGACCTCCCTACCTTACTCATAGGAGGGCCAGCCTCTTGTTCTGTCCAGGCCTTATTGACCTGATGTGGCCCACCCACCTTAGGGAGGGCAAGCTGCTTTACTCAGGTTGCCAATTTAGATGTCGACCTCATCCAAAACCACCCTCACAGACTCCCTCAGAATAATGTTTGACTAAACATCTGCGCACCCCATAGCCCAATCAAATTGACACAAAATTAACCCCCATAGCTTTTATGCAGGATATGGTGGGATTTTCCTGAACACATAGGTAGTCATGCCAAGAAGTGATGGGAGGTTGGTTTGGAGTTTAACCCAGTGATGTATTAGAAAGGGGGCCTGGTGTGGTGGCTAACACCTGTAATCCCAGCAATGGGAGACTGAGGAAGGAGGATCACTTGAGGCTAGGAGTTTGAGACTAGCCTGGGCAACTTAGTGAGATTCTGTCTGTAAAAATAATTTAGAAGATTAAAAAAAAAGAAAAGAAAAAGAAGAGGTAATGAGTTACAGGCCTCAGAAAGCTCAAAGGAAGAGGTGGCCAAGAACTTGGAACAAAGGACCCACCTAGAGTGTGGGATTGTAGTTCATGGAAACATTGCAGGCTGGTCGGCCACCCTGGAGGTGCCAGCATGGCCAGCGGCTCAGAGGAGAAGGAAGAGGGGCAGAATGGAAGAACCAGCCATGCTGGGAGCCTCACGCTGTGTTGAGGACTTGCCTGTGCACAAGAAGCCAGTTAAACTTGCAGGCACAGAGCCCCACCCCAGAGACCAACCTCTGTAGACCCAAGTGGGGCCTTGGATTCTGAAATGCCAGGAAGCACTGGGGGATCCCGAGGCAGGTGGTTTCTGTATGCAGAAGGACCTGGTTGTGGGGAAGAACCAGAGGGGCCAATGTCAGGGGATGTTGGAGCAAACCTCTGAGTCCAAGTGGCTTCACAGAGAGGAGGGTGCCAGGTGGAGGGTCGTGCTGAAGGAGGGGGACACCAGGCAGGACAGCAAAGACCTGCCTTTATGGTGCATAGTGGATAGGGCATTAAGGCGAAAAAGCGAGGCCCCCGGTGAGTGTGAATCCAAGGAGCCTGCCCCCTTCCCACCACGCTCTTCAGCCTGCCCTATGGACGACCCCTCGTGGTGCAGCTCCCCAAACAAGCCTCAGGGCTCTATGCTTCTGCCTGACACTCGAATGCCCCTGTATCGTGCTTTTTTTGGACTTAGCTTTTACTCAGGCTTAAAGGCCCTGCTCAGGTGTGATCCCCTCTGGAACAGTGTTTCTCAGACTCTAAATGCGTATGCACCAATTGGGGAATCTTGTGAACATGCAGATTCTGACTCAGCAGACTCCCTGTGGGGTCTGAGATTTGCAGGTGATGCTGGTCTCTGGACCACACTTTAATAGCAAAGCCCCCAAGAAGCTGTCCTTGGCCTCCCACCTCTGGGTTTGGTGCTTGTAATGGTTTCAATTACTCTCTATCCTCTCCCTCTTACTGTGGGAAGATTATACTTCCCCACCTCATCAATCTTGGACTTGGCCGTGGGACTTGCATTGACCATTGAGATGTTCACTAATGTGACTTGAGTGAAGACTTCTTTTTTTGAGTCGGAGTCTCATTCTGTTGCTCAGACAGGAGAGCAGTGGCACAATCAGTTTACTGCAACCTTGATCTTCTGGGCCCAGGCGATCCTTCCCCCTCAGCCTCCTGAGTAGCTGGAAATGTAGGTGTGCGCCACCATGCCTGACTAATTTCTTGGTTTGTTGTAAAGATGAGGTCTTGCCATGGTGCCCAGGCTGGTCTTGAACACCTGGGCTCAGGCAATTCTCTCACCTCAGCCTCTTCAGAGTGCTGGGATTGCAGAAGTAAGGCACCATGCTTGGCTGAGTGAAGGCTTGAAATGGGCTTATTCTCTTGTACTTCCATCATGGCCATGGAAACATGTTCTGCGGAGCTGTTGGTCCCCAAGGAATAAGAGACACATGGAGCAGAGTTCCCTCAGCCTGTGTAGTCCTTGAAGCCTGGCAGTATGGAAGATTATTATCAAACTCCCCCCCAGCTGGGTGTGATAATAATCACTCATTGCATGCTTCTGAGTTTTGGGATGTTTTGTTATGAGACAGTAACTGACTGATAACAGTGGTTTCTTTTGTGCTCCCATCATCCATCAGTTCTTACTTTACTATCACACTCGGGGAGATCATAATGACCTGTTTACTTCTCTATCATTTTCACCAGACTGAATGGGCAGAAGTTACATTCACCTAAAATTCTGTGTGGCACATGGCAGAGGCTCCTAAATTACTTGTTGGATGGATGAAAGAAAGGAAGAAGGAATGAGTGAATAAATGAACTCAGTTTGCCCCAATCCCTCTGCTGTCCTTGGATCCTCCCAGTGACATTTTTGTTTCTTTCTTTTTGAAAAATTACTCCAAGTTTAGCCAGTCAATTTTGATTATTTGTCAAAATCAAACACACAAAAATACAAACTTTTGCTAGTATGTACAAGTTCAGCACCTAACACTTTCCTAAAAGCTATCCTTACCTTTGTTTTATTTTACCTTTACAACATTCTTGTGGGCAGGGTACAGTGGCCCATGCCTGTAATCCCAGCACTTTGGGAGGCCAAGATGGGAGAATTACTTCAGGTCAGGAGTTCAAGATCAACCTGGGCAACATAACTAGACCCCATCTTTACAGCCATTTAAAAGTAAAAAAAAAAAAAAAAAAAAAAAATTAGCTGGGCATCATAGTGCTTGCAGTCCCAGCTATTTGGGAGGCTGGGTGGAAGTATAGCCTGAATCCAGGAGGTTGAGTCTGCAGTGAGCTATGATCGTGCTCCTGCACTCCAGCCTGGGCAACAGAGTGAGATCTTGTCTCTAAAACAAAAACAACCCCCTCTCAACACCCCACCCCCACCAAACCCTCCTTTGACCAAGGTGGACTGAGGATCAGACTGGCCAATGCCTTGCTCTCGGGTTCTCAGCCAGCTGGTGGTCTAAGGGGCATTTGCACCTGCACCCCAAGCTCCTGGGCCAGGCCCTCTTTGTTCCCTCCCAGTGAATGCTGCCCCTCTCTGGAATGATCTGGGGTCCTTCTTTGAGAACCAATGTGTGTGTAGTGATTCAGTCCAGCGTTCTCCCCAAGAACGTGTCTTTGTCCCCTGGGGCACAGCGGAATAGGGTGTTCCTTTTTTAGGGCCAGGGGAACATATTGATAAAAAAAAAATCATCAGTGAAATTAATTTCTGATATTTCTGCATTCGTGGTGCTGAATGAGCCTGCACCTGCTCACCTGACACCCTGCAGTGGCTCCCCTGCCCCCGCACCCCTCCCACTCTCTTAACATTCTCCTTCCCGGAAGGCACCTAGTGGGCTTGTAGTACACTTGGATAAATGTGCAGTGGGACAGAGACATGGCTTGATACGTAAAACGCTGCTCTGCTGCTTCAAAGTTGAGGGGAGGCGAGGCAGGTCAAGCAGAAAGCATTCCTGGCGGGTGATGCAGTTGGTTGTTACGTGCCTTGTGAAGGACCCTGGGGTGACGGGATGAGATCCGTTCATCAGGTCCCACCGAGCACTCACCCATGGCCGTCTCCTCTCCTGTCCTTGCCATCTCTCTGCACCCTTGTTGGAAGAGTGCAGAGGGAGAGGGTCACCCGGGTCCCCACCCATCAGCTGTTGCTGTCTTCAGCATTTTTCTCTTCAAGCACTGACGCTATGTCTTATCATTATTTTTTGTGCACATGGATGAGTGACGTCTCCAAGAGAGTGTCTCGCTGGACTCTGCCTGGCTGGAGGCTGTCAGACGGAAGCTTGCCTGCTGGGGTTTCTTGGTAAAAAACTACAGGAAAATTCAGAATTGGGTCTGGGACAGAGGGTTTTCTCTGGATGTGACTCTGACTTCAGTCTCCCAAATGCTGGGATTGCAAGCTACTTATTTCTTGTAGAAATGGGGTCTCGCTACATTGCCCAGGCTGTTCACAAACATGACCCTTTATTTTTCTTCATGTGGGGGAGCCATTTATTTGACAGGCAAGGGACTCCAGGAGCCACTTTATTCCTGCCAGGCAGCAGGACAGGCAGGTGGAAGTGGTGCTGGGGGTCTCTGATGGGGGGCCTGGGGGCGCCCCTCCCCCACAGGCAGACTCCTGGCAGGATGGCACTGCTTGCTGCACTGTCAGGTATCATCAAAGTCTACACCAGCAGCTGGTTTTTTATTCTTGCAGCCAGGGTTGATGAAGGGCTCTCTGGGACACCGTCTTCTGACCCCAAGTCCAGGGGCACCTCTCTGGGGATCCGGGTCTGGTAAGAAGAGCTGGCGCCCTGGGGGCCAGGGGCTCTTCCTGTGGCTGGCAGCTGTCTCCTCAGCACCTGCCAGCCGCTGTTCCAGGCTGCACACATGCCTTGCCAGGCCCAGTGCCAGTGCCTGTAAGCTGGGTGCTGCCTCTGGACTTGGCACCTTGAAGAGGTCAAAGGTGAGCTCTGAGGGCCCCCCTGAAAGGGTCAGGGATGCTCTGTCCTCCTGCAGCATCAGAGCCACAGCTTGTCGCTTGAAGGCCGCCCTGAACCGGGGGGTGATGTCCTCAGCCGCATTCAGACTGAATCGGGCTTTGAGGGCTGCCTGGTTGTCCGGCGTGAAGCAGGTGCTCCAGAGCTCAGCGGCGTCAGTCACATAGAGGTTGAAGCTGCCACGGCTGACCCTTTTTTTTTTCCAAAGAAACTCTTGTATTGAGGTATATCATACATTCAGTGGGTGTCAAGTGTGTGCATCTTAGTACATGGGTGCATTTTGTAGGCTGTGAACCAGGAGTGGAATTGCCAGGTGATAGGGCAAGTGTGTGTTTAACCTTGTAAGAAACTTATAAACAGGTCACATAGGTTTCCAAAGTGCTGGTGCCGTTTTGGACTCTCACTGACCATGCATGAGTTCCAGTTGTTCTGCGTCCTTGCCAACACTTGGCGTTGTTGGTCTTTATACGTCTGGTCTTTATACTTCTAGCCTCTCATGGGAATATAGTGGTCCTCCCTCTCTGACTGGCTTATGCATATTCATCTTCCATGGTTTGCCTGGGAGGTTAGCTCCTGGGGCAACTCTTCTGTCTTAGTCAGTTCAAGCTGCTGTAACAAAACACCACAGCCTGGGTGGCTTAGACAGCAATTTATTTTCTCATGGTTCCAGAGGCTGAAAGTCTGAGTTCAGGGCTCTGGGAGAGCTATCTTCTGATGGATATTTTCTTTCTGTGTCCTCACATGGGCAAGAGAGAGGGCAGGGAGTAGAAGGGGGGAAGGGAGAGGGGAAGGGGAAGAGGGAGAGGGAGGGAGGAGGGAGGTGGAGGGGGAGAGAGGGAGGGTGGCGGCGAGGTGGGGAGTGCGAGTGAAGGAGCTCTGGCGTCTTTCCCTCTCCTTATTGGGACACTCACCCCCTCTCCAGGGCCTGGTCTTCATGCCTTCATCTCAGTCTCACCCCCCCAGGGCCCCACCTCCTAATACCGTCACTCTGAGATTAGGGCTTCCACTTGAGAGCTTTGAGGGGACATGATGCTGCTCCCACACTTCTCCCTGGCACTTAGCCTGCCACCGTCCCAGCACCCACCCTGTCCCAGCTCTGATGGTGCTGAGATGTAGTTGTCGAGACTTGGCAGTCCTCGAGGGCAAGGCCTGCGTTATTCATTCGTGGACCAGCCGCCACACTGCCCTCCTCTCCAAGCAGGCCAAGACCTGCTGGCACAGTCTGTTCATCTGCCCTGGGGTCCCCGACGGCTGAAGGTTCTTTTGGGACAGATTCGTCTCCCAGTAGGCATAGCATGGCCTGCCTCCCGAGTGGATGCACTAGAGTTTTGCTGTGTTCTTGGGTGCCTCATTTCCAGTGCTTGGGTATAAGAAGTCTTGGCTAAAGACTCTGATTTCTTTTCCTTTCCCTTTTTAGCTCAGGCTGGAGTGCCATGGTGCGATCATAGCTTACGACAACCTTGACCTCCTGGACTCAAAGTGATCCTCCGGCCTTAGCCTCTTGACTAGCTGGGACTATAGGCGTGAGCCACCATGCTTAACTAATTTTTAAATTTTTGTAGAAACGGGCTCTTGCCATGTAGCCCAGTCTAGTCTTGAACTCCTGGACTCAAGCGATCCTCCTGCCTCAGCCTCCCAAAGTGATGGGATTTCAGGCGTGAGCCACCATGCCCTAAAGCCTCTGACTTCCATGCCCAACCCCATCCAACCTCGTATCCCATTCAGCTCAGGCATGAGCAGAAATTCGTCTAACACACAGCATGGAACCACAGCTAACAAGACGTTTTCTAAGAGGGTAGAGCCTCAATGTTCTCACCACACACACACACACACACGCACGCGCGTGCACGTCACCCTCACCTATGTGCGGTGATGGCTGTGTGCACTATCTTAATCATGGTGATCATTTCACAAGCTTGTGTCACAACATGACGCTGTCCACCTTCAGTACACACAATTTCTATTTGTCAATGACACCCCATAAAGCTAAAAAAAGAGAAAAAAGGAATCCAACTCATGCTGCCTTCCCCTTGTTCTGGCCTCTCCTGAGAGTCTCAACCCGGACCCACTGCAGTGCCCTCTGGCGTGCCGTCTCCTTGGCAGTTCCCAAGTGCCACCTGTCATCTGTCCTCCATCTTTCACCTGCTTTCTCTCCCAAGAACTCAGCTGGTCCCCCACCCACCCATGGCCCGGCTTTACCTCTCAGGTGGACTCGGTGTCCTGCCCCTGCCCCTGTGGCCAGTGCTGGAGGAGGGACATGGGCAGCCTTTGCTCCATCTTCACCCCAGGCTCCCGACCTTCTCTCTCTTCTCCTAAGCCTCCTTTCACGCTCGTGGCCTCTGTGTCACTGCCTCCCAGCCGCCTTGCTGCCGTCATTTGTAGCCCTCCTGGCCTTTCCTCGTTCCTGCATGCCTTCGCCTTGTCTCGCTGTCATCCTCGCCCTATTCTTGGTCACTTTAACACCCATTTGGGACAGTGACTCTCAACCTGCTCAGTGTTAGCATCCCCTGAGCCCCAGTCGAGAGCCACTTGATCAGAATCGGAAGAGTGGAACTTGGACATCGGCATGGCAAGAAACGTTTTTTTTGAGTCAAGGTCTCACTCTGTTGCCCAGGCTGGAGTGCAGTGGCATGATCACAGCTCACCACAGCCTGATCTCCTGGGCTCAGACAATCCTTCTGCCTCAGCCTCCCAAGGAGCTGGGACTACAGGCATGCACCACCAGGCCTGTCTATTTTATTTTTTTTGTAGAGATGAAAATATATCTGGGACATCGCTACTTCTTTTTTTATTTTTTGAGTTGGTATCTTATTCTGTCACCCAGGCTGGAGGGCTTTGCGTGCTCCTGGCCACCACAGCCTCGACCTGCTGGGTTCAGGCGATCCTTCCACCTCAGCCTTCCAAGTAGCTGGAACTACAGGCATGCGCCACCATGCCTGGCTTAATTTTTTGATTTATTGTAGAGCTGAGGTCTCACCAATTTGCTCAGGCAATCCTCTCACCTCAGCCTCTCATAGGCATGAGCCACTACACCCAGCCAACACCACTACTTCTTACCACCTTTACTGTTATGACCATGGTGTTTGCTCTGGCATGGAGCAGACGCTATTTTTATTTTTTGGTAGAGATGATGGCTCACTCTGTTGCCCAGGTAAGGATGCAGTGATGCTCATGGGTCACTGCAGCCTTGATCTCCTGGGCTCAAGTTCTCCCACCAAAGTTTCCTGAAGAGCTGGAACTTAAGGTGCCCACCACGATGCCCAGCTAGTTTTATTTATTTATTTATTTTAGAGATGAGGTCTCACTGCATTGCCCAGGTTGGTCTTGAACTTCAGGTCACAAACAATCCTCCTATCTGGGCCTCCCAAAACATGCACACTTAACTATCAGCTGTGTGAGGCTCAGGGCTGCTGCAGACTTACAGGGGTTCAAAGAGGGCATCTTCCCACAGACAACAAGGACTCAGATGCATAACATCTGTGGGTCAGAAGCTAGAGCTTTGGCCCCGTCAGGTTTCTGGTGGCTTTGGAGAGGAGTGAGTGAGACTCACAGGTATTGGAATTGACTGACAGTTGGGTGGCAGTCAAGATGCCAGTTCACTGTGTCCGAAAAGTTTCTAACATTTTTGTGATGGTCAGTCTGAGGTCATGGTCAGGGGATGGGGTTTTCAGGAGCCTTGTGCTCAGGATCCTTTCATTAACAGTGACAACTTCTGTGAATCTACAAGTAACCCGGTGAAGCTCTCAGAATCTCATCCTCTTTGTTTTGAATCAGAGTCTCACTCTGTCATCCAGGCTGGAGTGCAGTGGCACAATCATGGCCACCGCAGCCTCGACCTGTTGGGCTCAGGTGATCCTTCCACCTCAGCCTTCCAAGTAGCTGGAACTGCAGACGCTCACCACCACACTTGGCTAATTTTTCTTTATTTGTTGTAGAGACAAGATCTCGCTAAGTTGCCCAGGCTAATCTTGAGTACCTGGGCTCAGGCAGTCCTCTCGCCTCCGCCTCCCAAAGTGCTGGGATTACAGGCGTGAGCCACTGTGCCTGGTCCCCGCCCCCCTTTTCTTAATGGCAGTTTCTTGATGTAGGCAAGCCTGAGTAAACCACCGACCATTGGCGGTCAGACCAACCTCCAGCCCCAGAGGTTGGGGGTGGAGCTGCCAATCCCAACCTTCTAATCACATGACCACTTTTGAGGGTTTTTGAAACTGTGCTGGAAAACGTGGGTGGGGGAGTGGGGAGAAACCAAATATTTCTTACTATGTCACCCTCTTTCCTCAAATTCAGAGATTACGAAGACCACATTTTCTAGAGTCATCTTTCTTTATGATGCTCTGGTAAACATCACCTTCCAGTGTTTTCTTCCCGTCTCAAACATGTCAAGCTCTTCTTTGAAGATCCCAAGACGTTTAATCTTTTGCAATGTTGCAGGGGATTCCAGCAGACCTTCGTCTTTGTCGTTAAAGGGAGAAGAGAGGCTAGCAGGCATGTCCTGAAGTCATTCACTAGACTAATGGAAGCCACCAAAGGGAATTCTATATGCCAAACTTCTGAGTATTCAGACCAGACTGCCTGGAACCCTTGCTGTGAGGGGAGTAAGACCGAGAATTGTTAAATACTGCTGCTGGCCCACAGAGATCATTTAAAAAGTTTTACGTTTTAATTTTGATACAGATTTAAAAAGTTTATTTAGAGTCAGGGTCACCCAGGCTGAAGTGCAGTGGTGTGATTATAGCTCAACAGTCTTGAACTCCTGTGCTCAATCGATCCTCCCACCATGTCCTCCTGAGTAGCTGTGACTACAGATGCACACCATTATGCTCAGATAATTAAAAAAATATATAGATGAGGGTGTCTTGCTATGTTCTCCAGGCTGATCTTGAACTCCTGGCCTCAAGCAATATTCCCACCTCGGCCTCCCAAAGTGCTGGGATTACAGGTGTGAGCCATCACACCTGACCAGTTTCCCCTTTACAAGTTTTTCTTGCCTGTCTTGCTGAGAGAAAATGTATATTTTATAATTAGTATAACAAGGGAATTTCCTGAGAGCACAAACTCTGGAGGGACAGGATGAGTGCTGAGTCTCAGGTATTCCATCTCCTACCCTGATTCAGCCGCAGGACAAAGAGTGTGGCCAGAAAAGGATGAAGAAGACCTCTAAAGAGATCAGTGGTGAGTCCGGGGCTGGCCCAAATCCCCTCCTCTCCAGCAATTCTCTGAACGTTAGACCCTTATGGCTAGGGCATGACTGAGAAGGGCAAACCCAGGAGGAACCTGGATGTCAGTGTGATAGGAGTACAGTAGCTGGTGGGGAGTGCTCCAGGATAAGCTGGCTGGAGCACCCCCTACCCGTGCTGGGGAAGAGACAATCCCTCACCTCCCCACTGGAGGAGATCCCCTTGACCATATGAGAGTGGGAAGAGAGGACTGAAGGCCCACACACCCCCCCACCATCCTCTCCCCTCTCCCTGGGCCAGCAGAGGGGCTTACCTGTGAGCTGCTGAGAAGAACACTTCCAGAACCTGCCACAAGAGGGCTAGTTTTTGTTTGTTTTTAAACTTTTAAAATATTTTTCCTTTGTGCATAAATGTGAATGTGAAGGTTCAATCCGCATCCCCCCACTCTTTTATTCCTTTTCTCTCTTTTCTTTCTTCTTTCATTTTTTGTTTTCTGTTTATGTATGCACGTGAATGATTCAGTGCTCATCTTTTAGTTTTTTATTTGTTTTTTGCTTTTTTGTTCTTCTGTTTTTTCAGTTTAATGTGCATGTGAATATATGTGTGGAGGTTTGATTTGAATTCCTTTTTTTTCTTTTCTTTCTCTTTTTCTTCTTTCATTTTGAGTTGTGTGTGTGTGTGTGTGTGTGTGTGTGTGTGTGTGTGTGTTTGATTCTCCTGGTTTTTTTGTTTTGTTTTATTGTTTTTCCAGTTTATTTTGGTGTGCGTGTTTAATTGTTCTTTGCTTTGGTTTCTGCTTTTATTGCTCTGTGCTTTATTTTTTATTTTATTTTTTCAAGTTTATGTCTATCTTATTTCATTCTACTTTTCTCTGTTCTCCTTATTGCTGTTATTGTATCTTGGACTCAGAGGGTACAATAGGTATATGACCTATTGCATTGTCATATAGAGTGGTGGTGGGTAGTGGGTCTCAGGGAACCCATATCACAATCCTTGTGATTTGCAAGTAGTTTCTGAATCCTAGCTCCCCATCCTCCACCTTACTCAACTCTCAAAACTACAAGAAACAGCAAAGCTTCCCACCCACAGCCCTGTTTCAAAATAGAACAAATTTAGAATGCAGATAAGGGAAGAATAGAGGGCTAGCAAACATCAGAAGTGAAAGCCTCTTTCACTGCCACTGAATAATGAAACTAAAGAGAAAAGAAAGAGACTTGTCACAAATGAGAAAAAAATCAATGGAAGAACACAGGTAATTTCCAGTGTAACAAAGAGAAAATGCCTGAAAAATCAGACCTCAGAGCCCAAACAATGGAGGTCACCAACAACTGCAACAGGGATTAGGGAATGAATGGAAAGAGTGAATAAGACTGAAGAAAGACAAGATGAAACACTGAAAGAAGTTGTAACAGAGATTTTGGCCATAAAAAATTTCATCCAGCAAAAAACAAGATGACAAGCATGGAGAAAATAGGATTAATCATGCAGAAGAAAGAATCTCAGAACTTGAAGACCAAAACATGGAATTAACCTAATCTGCAAAAACATAAAAAGAAAACTCAGAAAGAAAGAACAAAGCCTCCAAGAGATGTGCGATTATATCAAAAGGCTGAACTTATGCCTGATTGGTATCCCAGAAGATGAAAAGGAAATGGAGAATAACTTGGAGCAAGTATTCTGGGAGGTTATCCAAAAAAAACAATCCCCATCTCACCAGAGATGTGACCATCCAACCACAAAATCTACAGAGAACCCCTGCAAGACATCAAATGAGAAGACCATCTCCTAGATACATAGTAATTTGCCTACACAAAGCAGGTATGGCCAGGCTTGGTGGCTTAACCTGTGATCCCAGCATTTTGGGAGACTGAGGTGAGTGGATCGCCTGAGCCAGCAGGCCTGAGACCAGCCCGGACAACTTGGCAAGACCTCATTTCTACAATAAATCAAAAATTAGCCAGGGACATGGTAGTGTGCATCCATAATTCTGGATACTTGGAAGACTTAAGTGGAAGGATTGCTGGAACCCAGCAGGTTGATGCTGGGGTGGCCGTGAGTGTGCCATTGCACTCCCAATAATTTGCCACATTCAGGAAACTCATCTCACCTCAAGGGATGCACACAGACTGAAAGTTAGAGCATGGAAAATGAGTTTCCAGGGGGGAATGGATCGCAAAAGAAGGCAGGAGTCACGATCTTAATATCAGACAAAACAACCTGTAAGTTATCAAAAATGAAAAAGATATGGAAGAACACTTTGTAATGATAAAAGCTTCAATCTATCAACAAGAAATAACCATCCTAAACATATATGCACCCAACACAGGAGCACCAATGTTTATAAAGAAACTACTAAGTAAATGAAAAAAAGATATTGATTCTAACACTATT